ATGTGCGTTTGCACGCGCTCTCCTTTTATACCCGCGCTGCGGGGCGGGGTGCGCGTGGCGAAACATGCACGCCAACTGTCATTGGCTTGTTTAGTTAACACTCGAAGGTGATTGGGCTCTCGGGCGAGATCCCAATTCGTCAGTCACTGACGTAACGTCTCCGTTCCCTCCTTCAGGGAACGAGGGTTACACAAGTAACCTAGACGTTAAATGTAATAAGCATTCTTGTGTATGCATTTCAACTGGGGTTCTCCATATACAGCGGCGATTATCCCAGTGTTCACGTTCGTTATTTCTAAGGTCGCTGTTTTCATTGTGATGAGTGCGTGGTTGATTTCAGTTGCACGCAGCGTCAGAAGCACACATTTACATTGATAGCCAAGGCTCACATTATTGAGTTATCTAGAATCATTTATGGAGCAGATAAAATACATACAGTGGGGAAAAAAAGTATTTAGTCAGCCACCAATTGTGCAAGTTCTCCCACTTAAAAAGATGAGAGAGGCCTGTAATTTTCATCATAGGTATACCTCAACTATGAGAGACAAAATGAGAAAAAAAAAAGTGGGAGAACTTGCACAATTGGTGGCTGACTAAATACTTTTTTGCCCCACTGTATAATCATTTATTACTCAATTATCATTTTGACTTCATATAGTCAATATATTTTCTTTATTTAAAGGCTGAAATGTGAGGTTTACCTTTTTATGAAACTTTTTCAAAGCTTTATTTGAATATAGATATTTCAACATGCTACTAAACTGTTGTCAGTCAAGTTGTCATTTAAAATCTGAATATCATTGGTAATGTTATTGTTTTAGTGATTATGCAAAAAAAAAAGTCATTTTATTTGTTGTATGTTGATTTTTAAATATAAAACATGGTGAAGTGATTTATGTGTAGCTACTTTTTGAACATCTCCAGCAATTGTATTTTAACAATACCGTGATAATACTGATAACCATGATGATTTTGGTCACTATAATCGTGATAAGAAATGTTCATACCGTTACATCCATAATTCAGTGGCATGCATATATTGGCTTGTATTGTTTTGTGTAACGTGTGTCTCCTGCTTTATGGGGGGTTATTCATATGTGTTATATGTGCAGTAGCAGTATTTCTCACATGCTGACAGCAGCATGTTGTGGATGTATTGGCAGTAGCAAGTCTTGGTACATTCTCTGCCGCAGCAGCAGCAGCAGCAGCGTAGCAGATCTATTCCGCCAAGACCAAATATACTAACATTGTCATGTACATTGCCATGCTAATCCCTCTGAGAGTTGTCATGACAGATCTCGAAGACCGGAGGCGGTGGAGTGGGAGAGGTCCTCGCCCGGGACTTGGCTCGCGTCTTCCGGTGCTGGTGCACCCAGGGCCCGTGGTGTCCCGGCGCCGAAGTGAAGGAGGCCTGGGAAGATCACGTCCTGGGTGCACAGGGCCTGTGCAGAGAAACTAGGATGACCATACGTGCCATTTTTCCCGAACACGTCCTGGCCAGGATTTCTATATTGCCTAAAATATCTAGGTTTTGGCTTTATTTGCGTGTGCAGACCGATCGGTGAATGACATCAAAATACCATACAGATGGTTCCTTATGCTTTCAAAATGCTCTCGAGGTACTTTGACGTCAAACGCCGATCGATCTGAGCCGCCCTGCTTTTATGTCGAACACACATCCTATGTACGCGTAATTGCATCACTTTGACCGTAGATCTCACCTTCTCACACACACCATGATTGGTCCATTATGTACAATGACTGCATGTTATTGGTCTACTTTTCGATCATTACCTTCAGCAAGCATGAAAACAGGAAAACAAAGCCAAAACAAATCCTGGCAAGGACGCATCCGGGAAAAATGGCACGTATGGTCACCCTAGAGAAACACACTGAGTAGAGGTGGTGGAAGTGTTAGCAGCGTGTTGTATACTTACCCCGAACTTGTGAGAGTCATCCCAGGATGTTTCCAGTGTGGCTCTCCGCTCTCTCAGCTGGGCCTGTTTCTCCACCAGGTCGCAGATCTGCTTCTCCACGGCCTCCAACTCGAGATGCACCGAGTGCAGCTCGAACATGTCCTTACCTGCACTCAAAGTTAGGCACAAATCCGCCATTTAAAGCAAGTAACAGTAAGTAAAAGAATTGAGTTTAAGCAATGTAAGCAAGATTAGCGGCAACCATGTTAGCGATGATAACAGGCTGTAAACTAGTAGCGGACTCTGCAAATCAAAATAAAACAAGTGATAACAAGGTGCTCTGATTGTTTGTGTTATAGAATACAATGGGGGATATATTCACACGTTATAGAAACGAAAATGATGGTGTATAAAATTTATTTTAAGATTGAAAATTAGACGATAAAGATTAAACTTGTAGCGTCTGGACCAATCAGACACACTATTTTTCATTTAATTTAACAAATCAATTAATCATTAGATTAACAAATCGTCACAGTCCCCTCACCCAATAAACTGGATGCCAGGATGTCTGCCACCAGGCCCCCCTGGTTACCATGGCAACTCTGACACCAGATACATTTACGACCTCCTGGAATTTAGGTGAAGAATATCGCTTCCTTGCCCATGAGGAAAATCCACAAGGGAAGGACTTTTCTTTGCTAATTAATTAATAGGAAAACCTTTCTTTGAATGAACACACATGATCCTTCAGGTCATTGTGTATATTATTGTCATCATGTATTTTGTCTTTAAGATTGTATACTGTTATGCAGGCTTATGATCGAAACACTCACTCCTGTCAGCATACATATATATAACCCTACCATGTTTAGTATCTATGAATTCGTATTCGGATGATCTAATTGAGAGTGTATATTGTATGTTTACACCTACTGCAACATATTAGTGTTCTAAGAGTCTTTAATAATTTTGATCCAAGTTTTATATGCAAATTACCATGCTTTCAAACAAAGGGCCATAAAAACGCCCCAGTATCTCAGAACTCCCACTTGGGATTCCGGACGGAGCTTCAACTCAAAACACGCGGCAAGAAAACTCTTATTCAGACAAGAATGATGCAAATGAGAGTGCTCTAATAATAACCACTAACAATATCTCATAATTATGTGCATTGTTAACCATTACAGACCTGAAGACTCAACATCTAATACTTAATTCTCAAAAGACAGTAAATATGTTTGTTTTATATTTCCATATTACACCAAAGAATCTTCTTTCAAAACCACACATTCTACTTCTAGTGTTTGAAAAATAGTGAAATGTCAGAGGCACAAGAATAATATAGAGTCTTAGCTTTAATCTTGTTTGTCCTTTAGCAAATCTTAGAATTTTAAATCAAAGCAAAGTGTGTGTGTTTGTAGTCAGGCACAAGGCATATTTAAGCCACAGCTCTAGTCTGCAACAATTCCTCTTCCAACAAGTCTTTCTGGGACTCTGCTGTTGGGTTTCTCTCGTCACACTTCTGCAGCTCAATTAGTGTGAAGCTGCAATGGTTTAAGTCACAAGAAGTGCTTAAAACTGAATGCAGACTGTCACCACAAACTATTGCAAAGGAAATATTTTCTACTTTTGTCTTAATGTCAGTTGGCAAAGCAAGCTGTCTACTTCATAGTTTAGAACCATAATGGTGACGACTAAGAAAAATAAATAAAAAAGCAATAAATTGTATAATAATAAAACTAAATAATTAAAAATAATCCACAATGTAAAATAAATATTCTTTTATAAATAAAGTATTTTTTTTCTTTCATTTACAGTTTGAGAACTCATTGTGGGTTAATGGACTGATCACAGTGTCCAAATAAATAAATCTTTCACTGCAAATCTTTCATCATTCTGAACTTTTTCATTATTCCAACTTAATATAGCAATCCATTTTTATTTTACTTTACCACACTATTTATCAAATTCAGTTTTTTATGTATTGCAATTGATGCTTATCTTTTCACTCCTCTTGGAAAACCCATGTTTTACATGACTAACAAAATCTCTTCAAAGTAAGGCTCTGAAGGCAAACTAGTGTCACTCGGCACTATGAATTCAGTCATGCCATGCATGACTGACACATTACAGATTTTGGCAGTGCGATCTGGAGTGGGAGAGGCGAAGTGAAAGGCAGGCAGACCTAAAGAAAGAGGAGTGATAGAAAATGGAACGCTGTGTCGTCGCCTATTGGGATAGTGATCATAACTTCGCCTGCCGGCCATGAATTGTCTTTGGGACATCTAAAGTGTTATGGCATTGACTTTCACATGACAGTTTCCTGCTGCTCACAGTGTCTACACTATATCATACAATGACATTTCGCCTGCAGGCAACACAGCAGGAGTGTCCCCCATCACATTCAAAGAAGCACTTAGCTGCAGTGGTGTGGAGAGACAACTCACTTACTGATCAGGGTGCAGCACATAACTGTACTGTACCTCCAAAAGAGCTGAGCTGATTTACCAGCTGTCAAACATGAATATTTAGTAAAATATGCATGGTTTTTGTCTTTATGAGTAAACTTCTGTGTATAAATGTAAATTAATTCTGCCAAAAAAAAAAAAAAAACGTAAAAATGTACAAAATCCATGCTAAAAACAAATAAACTTGCAATCTGCCAGGATAAACACACAAGGTAAAAATAATTTCATTTTACATTCCGTTCCAATTTAATATTCAATTTTCATTACTAATTATATTATATGCATAACAAATCATTGGACATGTGCCAAGTGTAAAATAATAATAATAATAATAATAATAATAATAATAATAATAAAACTTTTGTTTTCTTAACTTCAACATACCTCACAGACGTTAATCTGGGTTCAGATTCTAAATGGCACCTGCATGAGAAAAATGAAGAATTAGATCTGACTCAAAAAATGAAGAAATTTTGTATAATTCAGCATAAACCTCCCTGTTGTATGTGAACATTGAGCTGAGAATGACTGTCACAGTGACAGATGTTGGTATTTGAAGCTCTTGTGGGAGTGATTATTTGTCAGAGAATTGCTCCACTCTGTCCTTTTTAGGTAGTTTTTATAATTTTTTTAATTTAAAGTCTGTTTCTTTTTAAGCCCATTTGGTACAATCTGGCAGACTAAATCTAGATGGCACCATTTAATATTATTGCTATCTCCTTTATCACACCAGTCAGGGACAAAGTATTTAGATGTGTGGGCCATTGTAATGCACAGGACTGGACATCATCCTTCTCCAAATTGTCCCTCCAATTGAGACATCCCAAGTGCAGGTCATGCAATGAAATTAAAGGGGTCATATGATGCTATTTCAATTTTTCCTTTCTCTTTGAAGTGTTTCAAGCTCTTGGTGCACAAAGAAGATCTATAAAGTTGCAAAGACTAATGTCTCAAATCCAAAGAAATATTATTTATAAAAGTTAAATGGGTTATATGATGCTATTTTAAAGATCATTATTTTGTGTATTTGGTGTAACAGAATATGTTGACATGCTTTAATGTGCAAAAAACACATTATTTTTCAAATACTGTACATTATTGTAGGTCCTCTATGCCCCGCCTCTCTTTTTTTTACCATCAGTTCAAGCCCGAAAGGGCAAGAGAGTCGCGTGACAGACACAGTGATGATGCAGTACACAATCCGCAGTTAAAACAGCTGATGTGCTATGATTTCTGACAGGCAGTTCACTCTCCTGTGATGTGACTCTGTTCCCCTCACACACACACACACACACACACGATGCGTTACTCTGCACTGCGCAAAACTCCGCATTTGAACAGTCAATAGCAAATACTTAAACTAATAACAAAACATACTTACAGTCACTGATTCAGAAGCGCCAGATTGTCGTAGCAAAGTCGGAATTTACCCCCTTTTTTTTACAAATAGCCTTTGTGCACAGCCAGCCTTGTACTCTTCTAGGTTAAAAAAACTTGTCCATAAAATGCGTTGCACAAATTCTAATATCTGGGTTGTGCTGTTCTGTTGTAAATAAATCTTAACCAATGATTCCTAATTGCATCTACTCCCGGAAGGCCAAATAAAGTGCTTTTGCTTTTGCACTGAAACACACTGTTGCCTTGTCCAAATACACACACTTGTGGTCTTTGCACTTGACTACTTATATGACGTATTTCCTGTATTTGGCCCAAGTGTTCAAGTGAGCATGAAGACTACAAGTGTGTGTACAACTTTTCGTTACCTGATGGGACACACTTATAGTGTTGTAAAAATGCAAAGTGTTTACAGAGTTTTATTATTATTTTCAATACATTGCATTTTACAGTCAACTTCTAAATGTCTGTTCAGCAGTCCCTATAGATGACACAATTTGATTAAGTGATAAAAAGCACAAAAGACAAGATACTTCTCTTTTCAATATAAATAAGGCTTTATTGGAAAAATCTAAGAGATAAAAACTAATCTAACACATGAACACATGCATTCACACATTCACACAAGTTGCAGAAAGCAAGAAAGTAAGGAAAGAATGAGTTTAAGGAAATTAAAATGTGAAATCCCAAGTTTACAGCAATATGTGCAATTGCATAGACCTGAACAACCACCAACCACTTAATTAACCCTCGAGTTGAGTTCCTCAATGAGGTTCAAATTTATATTAAAAAAGTGAGTGACGGTACTTGCTTGCCTGTGGGTGGGGGTTCCCTTTGTTGTGGTCCTTGCAGAAAAAGGGGTTTCCCGAGATTGCTGATTGGCTGGAAGTTCAGTCTTGGGAAGCCAGTGGTTGGGCGTTGGCTGACGATGCTTGTGGGCTGGTTGAAGTTTTAGACGACACTCGAGGTCGGACTCGGAGACACAGCGTTAGGCAACTTAACTCAGAACACAAAACTCTCAACGGAAAATAAAATAAACTAAAGTAAAGAAATAGACGTAAAGTTTGACGAGACTAGGTGGCATTTCTCTTCATGGTTGTGGAGGAGCTGGCGTGTAAGCTAGAGCACACTCAAAGAGTGCAAAAAGCGATGACTGAAAAGCACGGCTAGAAGCCATGACCAAAAAAGCTAAAGAGTTAAACAGACGATGACTAAAAAGCATAGCTCAAAGCTATGACTAAAAAGCCGCATTACTAAAAGTGAAAAACTAAAAGCTAGATGCAAAAAGCATGCTAAAAGCAACATGGCTAAAAAGCAATGATTTGATGGTGTCCTGAGTATTTAAACTGGGCTTTTGGACACATCCCAAATGGTGCCTTGACCAATTAGAAATGATCTTGGCTCAGGGTGTTGTATATTTCTCCTCCCAATACATAAATTAACGTGTCATCTCATAAGTCACATGGTCCGAATTTTCCCGCTCTTGCAGAGTATAATTTTGGACATGATTTATATAACAAGAATAAGATACATTTGACAAATAATTGATTGGATGAAACGTTTTAGGAACGTGCAAGAAGATTCA